CAGAGGTACTGATTATAGAAGAAGAACAGGCACTAAGCTCCAGGTCCATAGAAATGGGTGTCTAGCACATTAGACAGGACCTGAGGTATAGACCATGCAGCGAGGCCTCAGAGATACTGCAACAATAGGTTGTAAGATGCAGTCAGAAACAACATACACTGAACAGCACGACCAAATAGGTACTTGGTATACATGAACGTCTGCAAAGTGTATATTTAGACTCTCTCAAGTACAGATGAAAGATTCCATAGAATATCGTGAAGAATAATAGGGCTAAGTCTGGTGGGTAACAGATAAGGATCGGAAAGTAATGGTAGCAGCAGTAAGTGACAGCAGCATCAGCAAAAAGGAGTAGAGAAGCTGGAGAAGTTCCAGGGCCTGAAGGAGGAACTAGAGAGGATGTAGAAAGTAAAGGTCAAAGCATTCCCAATGGTAGTAAGAGGATTCAGGGCTGTGACTATTAAGCTGGGAAAATGGCTCCCACAGATCTCAGGAACAATATCAGAGTTGTTTGTCCAGAAGAGTAGAGTGCTAGGAACAGCTGAGATATCCCAGAGTCACCATGTGATTCAGATAGGCAGCAAATATCTTAAGTAAGTAAGTAAATAAGTAAGTAATAAAGATACTACTCAGAGCCTCAAGCTCCCAGGCTTCTGGTAGAGGACCCAAGATTGAAGAAGACACATACCATAGAGGTGAAAAGAGAAGGATCTCACTACCTTCAGTTCATAACTGAGCTGTATTGCTGGTTCTGAATCATCTGCATTTTGCAGATTGTTTATGTGCACTAAATGCAATTTATGTTTTACATCTACAGTGCCAATCCTGGGCATTATTTAATTATACATAATTGATACAGATAAATAATGTGTAAGTCATCAATTTTTACACAAGACGTCATGGTAAGAGTGAAAAGCGTATTGCCTAAATATTAGCCCATTTTTATTTTGAAAATTAGAAGATACATAATGTTATTTCTAAATAAAGGAGAGCCAATTATATATAAATGAATACTCATCTATGGATTATGCCAAACAAATTCCTTTGTTTGAAATATTAAACATGTTAATAGCTCATCTGGTTTATTTCTTATGAATCAACTAAACTTTAAACTAATTGGTATCTTTTAATGCAACTTACAGCCAGAAATTGACTGTGAAATTGAAGTTCTGTCCCTTTTTAATGTTTGATGTACAGTGTGTGTAAAAGGGGCAGGCCTATGACTGAATAATTGTAGTCACCATGTTGAATTTTTTGACATTTTTATAGATGCCTCAGGCTACAGAGTATAATTATGAATCCCGATCTACAAAGAAGCCTATATGGAATTTTTCCATGTCTGTGCTTCTAGGTGACAGGCAGCTGTCAGTTCTGAAAGCTGATAATGATAACTGACCTCTTCCTGAAAGGTGAGCCTAGAGATTGTCTGCCTGAAGAAGACTTTAAGGGTGGATAATGGGGCTGCACATAAAAGATGTGAGTAATTTAATCTTTAATTTAAGGATTAATCCTTAAATTAAATCTGCATGGCTGTATTTCTCAATATTAATAATATATTGCAGTTAGAAATTGTTGTAAAATGCTTTGACCTTTGTATAGGCATTTGAAAGGGTGATATATATTACACGTTTTGTTAATAATATTGTTCTGGTTTGCACTTCAGTAGGAGAATTCCAGGTAAATGTCTTTAATTAATCCAGAGATGCAAATGAAAATTAACAACAGTCAGACTGAAAGTATGTTAACCAACCTGTTTAGCATGGCTTTCCACATACCGTATCAGTGCATTCCAGACATGTGGAAGTAAATTCTCATACTTCCTAGTCAGCAAATCCATTATAAATTAAAGGAGACAATGTCCAAGAGATGAAAAGGGAAGGAAACAGAACAGGCAAATACCAGAGTAATTAATGGTATAACATCCAATAATAGATGAGCTAAATTTGCAAGGCTATCTATCATTACTAAACATTTTAAAAGCACACTGATATTAATGATTAAACAGTATGGCCACACATTCTACAATTGTTTCCTTAGACAGTAATGATTAGAGACACAACTGCAGAATTCGTGACAATGTCTTTTTACACCTCTCATCTGTGGAATGTCTTTGATAAGTCTTTGGATCTTTTGAGTTTCATTTTTCTTTATATAGTACTCTCTGATATTGCTTTCTTGTCTGGAAAATAGAAAAAGGATCCAAGTAAAATAATCTGGATTGTTTTCGGAATGTCAAGCCTTCATTAATCCACTCTATATATTCCCAGATATCAGCAGTGTAATTATAACAAAATGAAAGGCTCCAGGCTAGACTTATCCTTGACATGCTGGATCTCCACCTGCAGAAGGGTTCCATTTGTTTGCATTCTGAAGGAACATTGTGCTGGAAAGATCCTATTTGTGTTCTTTAGGATCCTGGAGCAACCTTGGCAAATGAAAGTACACCAGCATTATACTGGCTAGTAGTTTTCACCGTGGAATATATATATGTACAGAACACAGGTTAGACTGGTGATGCAAAACATCCACTGCACTGAGCATGGAATTAGTTTTGCATGATCTTGTGTCCAACACAAATATACATACCGTGTTTCCCCGAAAATAAGACCCTGTCTTTCTTATATTTTTTTGAACCCCGAAATAAACGCTTGGCCTTATTTTTGGGGAGGTCTTATTATTTTGGGATGCGTGGAGCAAGATGGGGCTTCTCTTGCCGTCTTACCTGATTTCCAGCTCTGGGTTTAAATATTTTCAGGGAGGGCTTATTTTCAGGGGGGAGGCTTATTTTAGCGCATTCCCTCAAAAGCCCTGTTTATTTGTTTATTTGTCGCATTTTTATGCCGCCCAACTCCCTAGGGACTCTGGGTAGCTTACAGCAAAAAACAATGCGAACAATATCCCATAAAAAAATTTTTTTTAAAAAAAGAAAAACATTAAAAACCCATACACTCCATTCCATGGCCAGGTCTCGCAAGACCGCCGTAGCGAGATCAACGGCCCCAGGCCTGCTGGAAAAGCCAGGTCTTCACCGCTTTCTGGAAGGCCAATAGGGTGGGGGTGGTCCGGACCTCAGGAGGTAATTGGTTCCAGAGCCGGAGCAGCCACAGAGAAGGTCCTCCCCTGCGGGCCCGTCAACCGACATTGTTTAGCTGATGGGACCCGGAGGAGACCAGCTCTGTGGGATTTTACCGGTTGCTGGGAGCTATGCGGTAGAAGGCGATCTCCAAGATAACCTGGCCCTGAGCCATGTAGGGCTTTAAAGGTAATAACCAACACCTTGAATTGTGTCCAAAGACCGATAGGGAGCCAGTGCAGCTCGCGGAGAATTGGTGTAATGTGGGTGTATCTAGGTGCACCCACAATAGCTCGCGCGACTGCGTTCTGGACCAACTGTAGTCTCCGAACACTTTTCAAGGGTAGCCCCATGTAGAGCATATCGGGCTTATTATCAGGGGATGTCTTATTTTTGGGGAAACAGGGTACATACATGTGTGTGTATGTGTATGTATATACGCATATGAACACATACACATACATTCACACACACATTTTGTACACAATAATCATTGAGGGAAGAAAAAGCTAAGGCCACAAAATGTATGGAAAAGAAGGTGCTTGAAAGATGGGGACAGCTGCGCTACCAAGGTATGCCAAGCCATGCTGGGAGATGGGGGTGGGTGGGGGAGAGAAGAAATTCCCATCAGCATTGTCCCACTCTCCCCCCCCACCATCCCAGATTTTGTTTCATCCCAAACCTGGAATCACTAGCCTCTTCTTCTGAACCCTGCCTTGACTGGGAATGCTTTGCTAGAATTTCCAAGCTCGGAAGAAAATTCCATTCCCCCTCTGCTTTTTAGCATATGCCAATATGATGTCCTGCAGATGTGTCTGAATGCAAGTTCCACAACCCCTCTCTCCTCATCCCCCCAAAAATGACAGTCAGGGATTATGGGAGATGAAATCCGAGGGGGAAAGAAAGGTTGTGAAGGACTTCCCCTGGCCTTCGTTTCCCGGGTTGGAAGCCTGTCAAAAAAAAACCCACAAGAGCTCATCTTCGGAACAGTAAAACAAAAGAAAGAATTGCTGTCCATACAATAGCTTTTCAGAAAAAGAGAAGGTGCACTTGAGACTAGGAAATGTTTGAATTAGTCCTTTGATCGTTTGTGTCTCGAACGGCGTCCCTTCCCGCGCTTGCTTGCTTGCTTGCTTGCTTGCTTGCTTGCTTGCTTCCTTCCTTCCTTCCTTCCTATTATTATTATTATTTTTTTAAGTGGGAGCGAGGAAGACTCCCCTCCCCTCCTTTTGAGAGCCGGCTGAGCTTTATTTGTGAGCCAAGCGCCATCTGGCGGCGGCACTTGTACCTTGCTTGCCTTTCACACGCGGGATGGAAAAGAAAAAGTTTGGAAAAGTTTTTGGAAGTCGCGGTAAAGTGATGAGAGTGTGGTGGTTCGCCACCCCACCCCACCCCACCCCACCCCCCCGCCTCCCCGCCTCCTGGCTTTTCCTAGCTGTGTGAGCGTGCGTGTGTGAAACCGACATGATGACATCCACAGTAGTGCCCGCCTTCCCGTGCCTGTTCAAATAGCATTCCCCTACATCTATCGCCATCGAAAAACTCGGATCCCCGCTACCTCCGCCGCCCCCCCCCCCCCCTTCTCAGGGAGAGAGAGAGAGAGAGAGAGAGAGAGAGAAATCACTTTCTTTTCCCACCTCTTTCCTTCTAAGCGCCAAGGGGAAAATAGAAGACGGGGCAAACCCTCAGTAACTCTCGGCCAGCATAAAACGATTCTCCTCTGAAGAGTTGCATTCGCCCCCCACCCACCCTCAGCTCCCGAGCATGGCGGAGGCTCGGGATCAGTGCCGCCGAGGGTCCGCGAACCATCCTTGCGGGACCATTTAACACGGCCCCTTCCCCCCCCCCCCCCCCCCCCCCCCCTCACCGTCCCGCCAACCAGGGCAGCGGATGCGAACTCTCGCTTTTTTTTTTTTGCACTTGTCAGATGCGGACGGGACATTGGCCGGCTGGGATCGAGACACCCGAGGCGATCCGACCGGCGAAGAGTTACTCTTAAAACAGCCGGCAAAGGCGGGTCCCTGGGGAAGAAGAGGATGCAGCCCCACCTGGCGCTGATATGCGTTGCTGTGCTCGGGGGGGGCCCTGCCGGCGTCGGCTCGACCCGAGCCCAGGAGGCGGCAGCAAATGGACCCAAGGCGATGTGAGCTGCCCCGATCGGTGAGCTGGGCGAGGGAGGGACGGAGTGGAGAGAGGAGAGGTGCACGCGATGGAGGAGGTGTGGGTGGCGGGGATTGCAAGTAAGCAGAACCTGGGCAGCGCCACGTGCGGGTATCTTTTGGGATCTCCTGGGATGATCCCCGAAGAGCACCCCATCAGCCAGGCGCTTCCTTCCCAAGAGCCCCGCAGGATCCAGAAAGCTTGGCCTTTCCCGAAATTTGGGCCCTTAAGATCCGAAGGGAGGTCATCCTGGCGGCTATGGCATCTCCAACATCCCATCTCAGGTGGCCTGGCTGGGCTCTCTGGGGAGCGCTGCCTTTGGCAGGAGAACAAGGACTGGAAAGAGTAGACGTAAATGGTCAACTTGATAAGAAGACAAGACTTCAGCTTCTGCCCCTTAGGCAGCGTCCAGCACATTGGACTGCTTGACTAGTAAACGGTAGCAATCCTGTAGTCAAGTCGTAGACTTTTACTACCAGATAGGCTAACCGCCTCTGCTTGCCAACACTGGAGCCCTTCCCATCTTTTTTCAGGCATCTTCTGAAAAAAGTTTAGGCCATAGCCAGATAGTTAACAATATGGGTATCATTATACCTCTATATGTGTTGCTACTCTTATTCAGCAGAAGCAAAGCTAATAACTCTTAGGGTCCTTTGGTTAACTTTTCTATACTCCATAATTTGTTTTTATTTAAACAGGGTTTTCACGGGCGATGTATAGTTTAGTAAAATAAAGGTAGCATAATGTACAGCATAATGCCACCTATTCACATTTCTCAAACTGCAGCTCATTTAAATAAATTATAGTGCCAAACTAGGACCGGTCTTCACCCTGCCATGTCCCTTATTAAAAGATTTGGGCCACCTGTACTGTAGTCTCTCAGCCTAAGCTACCTCCGAGTTGTATTTAGGCTAGGCTGTAGCTAGTAGATAAGTAGATTTGGGGCATCTCAGTGCAAAAGCTCATGTGAATGGATGGTCTTGACGTTTAGAAGCACTGTGATTATTACCTGTATCATCTGCTGCTTCAGGTTATATGAAAGCCAGTGGAACTACACACTTGCTTCCAATTTAGGATCAAAAGACTTGCTTCTGACAGGAGTAGAGGCGGCATAAAATTAGTATGTATTACTGACAAATTATGGCTCTCTGAGACAAATGGTTAAGGATTTGCAGAATTTCTCTGCATAGTGAGCCCATGCAGACTGGATAAAAGAATTATTACAAGGTGTCTCTTAAGTATATATTTCTGGCCTGATCAAATGCAAGGATAAATGACCCAAATAGATGATCTTAAGGATGATGCCTGCTTAGATAAAGAAAGAAGATAAATCTATTCCACTGAGTGCAGCTGTGTGTGTGTATATATATATGTTTTCTGAGGTTTTCGCGGGTGTTTGTATGTAGGTCTTTGGTTATTCGGGTTTTCTCTCGCGTAAAATTGGAAGTGTCTTGGCGATGTCGCCAAGACACTTCCAATTTTACGCGGGAGAAAACCCAAACAACCAAAGACCTATATATGTGTGTGTGTGTGTGTTTAATGTATATGTTCTGTCCAAAAATATACATATATAACAATGAACAAATTCTTGCTTGTATTAATGTATTTCTTCCATACAAGAAGGCTGTTTAAAGTTCAGTAACCTATAAAGGAGAATATTTGTAGCACAGAGTTGAAATGAGGAGTCCTCGGTGCTCTCTGAGCTTGGTTGTTTTCTTGCAGACATTTCATTACCCAAACTAGTAACATCATCAGTGCAAGCTCAGAGAACATCAAGAACAGTAACCTATTCCGTTGTTATAGCTCTCTTCAACTCAAAGGACAGTCACTTAGATGTTAAGGCATAATACACTGCTCAAAAAAAATAAAGGGAAGACAAGCAGAAGACATCCGAGATCTGAATGAATGAAATAGCCTTATTAAATACTTTGTTCATTACATACAGTAGTTTTGTGTTCCCTTTAGTTGTTTAGCAGTGTATAAACTACTGTATGTAAAGAACAAAGTATTTAATAAGGCTATTTCATTCATTCAGATCTCGGATGTCTTCTGCTTGTGTTCCCTTTATTTTTTTGAGCAGTATATATCTGTTAAGTGACTTAAATCTGAATCTTTCTCTGCAACAGATATGTTTTGCATTTGCTAAAATCTTTATTGAATTCAGTAGAATTGTTCTAGCGTATGTAATATCAATAGATATTGCTTCATTATCTCGTAGGTTAGTATCAGAGAGATTATTATGTGAAACAATAGTCTTCAAACAATTCCAAAATAGGTGATAATCACAGTATACACCTGCATTTCTTCTCTGCGTCATTTACTTCTTCTTTTTGCTGGCCTTAAATATCTTGGTCACAGCACAGTCCCTGATGCTGATTAGTTTCCTTTCTGATTTCTTTTGCTTTAGCAAAGAGACCTAAACTCTTTCCTCTGGACAATCCGGAGAGATCCTCCTGCCTACTTATTTGGCACCATCCATGTGCCTTATACACGGGTGTGGGATTTTGTTCCTGAGAATTCCAAAGCTGCTTTTCAAGCCAGCTCCAGCGTGTATTTTGAATTGGATCTCACAAACCCTTCCACTATCTCAGGCCTGGCCAACTGTCAGTTGCTTCCTCGTGGAGAGAATTTACAGGATGTGCTTCCCCGGGATCTTTACCATCGCCTCAAACGCCATCTTGAGTATGTCAGGTTGATGCTGCCTCACTGGATGACTCCAGATCAAAGGGGCAAAGGCCTTTACGCTGATTACCTTTTCAATGCCATTGCTGGAAATTGGGAACGCAAGAGGCCCGTCTGGGTAATGCTGATGGTCAATTCCTTGACTGAGACGGACGTCCGTTCACGAGGAGTGCCAGTGTTGGACCTCCACCTGGCTCAAGAGGCTGAAAGGATGAAGAAAGGCACAGGAGCTGTGGAGAGAGTAGAAGAGCAATGCCACCCTCTGAATGGGCTGAACTTCTCCCAGGTAAGGGGGATCTAAGATCTTTTAATTTTCCAGAGAGTGTCTTCCCTTTAAAATGAGCTGGCATTAGTTTGGGGCAGGCAGAAACTGCCGAATGGATTAATGCCAGAGGCTAATGCATCCTAGGTTTATATTCTTCAATGAACTTTCATGAAATTCTTCTATGAAATGTAGATTTATGGGAGTGCAGATAATTGGTTTTCCTCTTTAGATAATGTGATAACTGCTATAAAGTTACAACATGGAATCCTAGTGCCAGAATAGGAGGTGAACACTGAATACCTGCACAATGTAGGAATCAGATTTAAAGTCTCCTTGGCAGACGTATCTTTTCTAAACAAGAAGGACATGTGTTTTTAGGATAGAACTACAGTGTGATTTTTTCCATTATTTGCAAGTATGGTTAAATATGAAAAGTGATTTTTGAAGATAACCTTGAGGAGCATCTGGAAGTCAGGTATGGTGCGAAAAACATCAATGCTGCAATGATGCCTTGGTTTTGAAAAGAATATCAGATGTGTAATATATCTCACACACACACACACACACACACACATACACACACACTTAAATAAAGTAGATAGGCAGCTAGCTCTTTCTAGGTGTGTCTTTCAACAAGCATTGATACTGGTGTCTTGGAAGCCAGGATTATTGTGTCAGATGCTGTACACACAACAGTGAGAAGCTACAGAAAATTGTCTGAAATTATGTCACTATGCATGTTAATGACATGCAGGGGAGGGGGAAATACAGCCATTTGGCATGGATCTGCTCCATACCAAGATGAAAAGCTCCTCAGCACCCCATACATTCTGTGGAAAGACAGATGCTTCATATTTTGTCAAACTCATTTGGATCCAGAAGTGGGTTGCTTCCCGCTGTTACATGTAAAGCATCTGAGCCTTTCTTTCATTGCTCCTGGACCCATATGGTCTCACAGTTACCCCAGTATAGAGGTGAAATCCAGCAGGTTCTAACAGGTTCTGGAGAACCGGTAGCGGAAATTTTGAGTAGTTCGGAGAACTGGCAAATGCCACCACTGGCTGGCCCCAGAGTAGGGTGGGAATGGAGATTTTGCAATATCCTTTCCCCAGGAGTGGGGAGGGAATGGGGATTTTGCAATATCCTTCCCCTGGAGTAGAGTGGGAATGGAGATTTTGCAGTATCCTTCCCCTGCCACACCCACCAAGCCACGCCCACCAAGCCACACCCACAGAACCGGTAGTAAAAAAATGTGGATTTCACCACTGCCCCAGTACCTGTTTTAAAGGGATGTATGGAATAAGAGTGTATGGAATCCAGTGCAATTCTATACACATCTATTAAGCAATAAGCTCAGTTGAATTCAGAAGGGCTTCCTTAGACGGACATACAGACAGGATTGGATCTTCAGTAGAGGATATTTGCTGTTTTTATAGTTATATAAAATGCTGGAGTGCTCCTGAAAGAATGCAGTTTCTAATTGTATTTGGAAAGGCCTTAAATCCTCTACTGAAGAATGCTGATATAGCCTTGTTTCTATTTCTAAATGTAGATGTTATCTGTATGTTATATAAGTGTACTGCAATATATATGAGTCAAAAGAAATGCATTATTTAGGGCATTCATAAGGGTTGTGTTCCCTTATACCCAATTTATATTCATTTTGTGTGTGTGTGATAATATTGTTTATAGTAAACACTATAATGTTAACTCATTCTTGTGTTGCACGTATGTGTGTTTATGACATTAAAATATGGATTGTAAAATTACAGCTGCTCTTCGTTTAACAGCAAAATCATCAGCATCAGACACCCATTGTGCTCACAATCTAGATTTATCTCTTGATTTAGGTAATGGGCTTCATATGCTTCTCTGAAGAATAGGTTGCCTGTGAGATTTTGGATGGAGCACTGTTTTCCATTAAGCCGCTCTCCCAAAGGTCACCTGTAAGAATATGTAATTAGTTGATCATCCAGCCAAAAAAATAGATGGCAGAATTGAAATAAAATGGAAAAAACATTCAAACAGATTCATTTTGTGATCATTTATTTGTCCAAATAGTTTCAATTTTAATAAAGGTCACAGAAAAAAGTAGGTGTGAAAACAATCAGGTCTTTTCTTACAAAATGTTATAATTACCAAACACCTGTTAAAGGAGAGGTATGGAATCTGTGCCCTTTGGATGTTGCTTGATTAGAGTAGGTTATCTACAGTGTGTTGATAATAAGGAGGAATGAGACTTATTTGATTCCAACCTTTCTTATCCATTGACCATATTGTTGATGTCCATAGAAGCTGAAAGCATGAAAGACCACAAATTTTCAACCTTGGATTAAAAAACTTGATAGGAATCCCCTTTTCAGGTGATTCAGGATTTAACTCCAAGCCCAACTTTTTTTATCAATTGGTTATAACAATGCATTGAGAGAATATTGCTAGATTTTTGTCTTCTCCCTTATGAATTGTTGGCCAACTAATTATGTAGATTTTGCCAGCTAATCCCAAAGATCCTCCTCTAAGCAAATGCATTTTTACATCTGGAATTCAAAATCATTTTCCCCCTGTTCTGAAATTACAAGAAAATAGGGCCATGCAAAGGTTTAAAATAGGCTTTGCTATTTCAGGATTTCAGGATTTGAAGGGTGTCAATGGAAATACAAATCTGTGTTCATCAATTGGATCATTAGTATGCAGTATCTATGGCAAAACATTAGATCCATTTAAAAAAAAAGAACTTTTTAAAAATGACTGGAAGAAACCCAACCAATCAGTAGCAACTAATGAATCAATATTCTTCAACCTACTTGTTGCAAAGTGAACAAAATATCTGTGACAGTTTCATTGAAGAATTAACGTTCAGATTCCTATTTTAAATACAGACTGAGTACTTGCAATCAAGTTCACAATAATTAGCAGAGACACATTGTGCTGCTTATGATGCTGGAGTCTCTATCAGGTCAAATAGTACTTAAATCTTTTAGAAGTCCTTCATAAAAATGTACAGTGGGAAGTTTTTCAAATCTGTACTACATAACACATTTTTGTGGCTGAAAGCATGAACTCTCTTTTTAATCTCTCAGGATGAGAAGTAATACTGGTTTATATTTCTTCTCCCCGAGAGTCTGATTTTAATTCTGCACATCATTATTCTTTTACTTTTCTTAGTAGATTTTTCTGCATAATAAAGGGGAAAAAAATTAAATACTCCAAAGAGGGCTTTGGTTTTATAAATCCATTACTTCCAGACTCATTGATTTGGGATAGTTGAACAATTACTGTCATTCACAAGCCGATGTCTCTCAGATTTAAAGATACCTTGGTAGTTTTTACTTTGGCTGACGAATCAGGTGATCCCAAGGTGGATGCTATGTTTATATTTTTATGCAAGTCCTTTATGGAATAAAATTGACATGGTAGCAGAATTAATGTGTATATGGGCATCTGAAAGATACATTAAAAAACCACAGACAGTCTTGCTGACAGCAATAGAAGAAAAGAAATAAAAGGTAGCTAAAATGAGAAGTCTCTTCTATCATTTTCATACTGCATTCTAAAAGCTGGTTGGCTGGCCTTTACAGCTGGCAAATTGTTTAAAAGGAGCAATTTGTAATGTTATCATTTGGTCTAGCAATTCTGCTGTTGGTTTTACTGTTATGGCCTTAATTGAAAGGAGTGGATTATGATGAACAAGATTTCCTCTCTAAATCCTGAATCTCGGGCCTTTTTTTAAGAAACATATAATTAGTGGTATTAATGGTAGAAATTAGAAATTGACCAGAATTTGTTTTCCAGTGGTATGTCTGGGTTGATGGGAACGACATCTGTGATCATTTACAACATTGAATCTGTTCTGAGCATCAGTAGGGCTCTTTTTAACCTGCTTTAAGCATTACTTTAATTGCAATATGTGTAACTTACAAAATTTGGAAACAAGGTCCCAGAAGACATGCTGAAGTGAAATGTTCTTAGGCATCTGCTTTCAAGAATTTCTAAGAGAGAGCAAGTGGTTTGCTCTTTTTCCTAAAAGCTTAGCTTTTTTTTTACCCCTTTCCCATCTTCATATTACACTACTAAAATACTAAATGGGATACTACAAAATATCAGTCTATCCAGTGACGAATTCTTATGCCTTCTGGAACAATCTGAAGATGTTTCAAAGGAAGCAAGCTCAATTTTTCAGAACCTTCATTAGCATTTGAAGAGGGTATGTAAACTTTTGATTCAGAGATTATGGTAAAAATTTAACAAGCCATAGTGGCCTAATTCACTTATGCTAAGACATAAACCATGATTTACAAGCTTAATGGATGAATTCTTGTGTTAAGCCAAAACCAAATATACCATGCACCAGTTTAAGACAACATATTCTGAACAGAAAATTGCATTTTCAAAAGAAATTCCTTTGCATCATTAAGTTCTTCCTTAATCTGATGTCTTAGTGTACTGATCTGAACCCAGAGGGACTTAGTTGTAAACATTCCTTGGTTTGCTTGCATAAAAGACCTAATTGAATTGTATCCTTTGTGCAGCAAACAGAAAACAACAACAACAATGCAGTATCTCAAGAATCTCTTCTCTAGTTTTCACTTCAGTTTATATGGAAGAAAATCTTTCCCCAGCCAAAAACACACCAGCATTTCAGCAGCAAAACCACTCAGTTTTGCTGCCAAGAATATAATATCGACATAGACTACTCAGCTCAAGGGAGAATTTTAATAGGATCTTATTCAAGTCCCATTGGAATTAAGGGGATTTATTACAAAATAAGCTTGCATTGGTTTATGCTTCCTGACTGGGCCCAGATTTCAGCAATCTTTCGGTGTTTATGAGTCTGCGGTGTATGTGTGTGTATGCAACAGTGAAAAATGTATGTGTGGTAGAATGGTTTGTACTTGAATACGCATATGGATATCAACTTTACTTTCCAATTAAATTTGCTTTGTTTTATTAGCAATTAATATACATTTATTTATTTATTTTGCTTTGGCTATGGCTTCTGTTTAGAGTGTGGCCTTTGTTTG